GAATTTCTGGAAGACAGTGCTGAACCGATTAGTTGTAACTGTCTTCTGTCCATCTTAACATAGTGAGTTTTTGACCAGTCTTGTACTTCTGAAGAAAATGGCATACATTACTCTTTTCTTTGCTCTTTTTCTTTTCACTATTCTTCATTTCGGATCATTTTCAAAGATCCATACTTTATTTTCTTGATCTGTTGGAATGTCAAATAAAGATAGGTACGTTTCGTCACCAATTTTTATTTTAAAAAGAACGCGGTATCCAAGATCCTTAAGCAGTTTTAGGGTTTCGTTAGAGATCTTGAAACACTCCGCGTTTGGGTGTTTTGCTAATTTACGAAGGACCTACCGACAAATTTTTTATATGCAGTTCTGCAAGAATAATTTTATATATAACTGCAGATCGAATGTTAAGTTACTTCTGTATCGTTCAGGTTGTACAGTGATTATCATTGATTAACATTTTTCATGGCTGACAGATTTTCTGTCCACACTACAACTGACAAAATTCGTCATCCAGAAGAGAATTTCGACTATTACGAAATTCTGTAAACCATCTGAATACAATGGCACGAGATGGAGTTTCATTTCCGTATGCTAGCTGTAAACATTGAAGAATTTCTTCTTAATTTAGTTTAACTTTAAAATCATAAAAAAGTATACTGCTATAATGCTGTTGCGTTGTCTGCGTTTTCCTTTAATTTAAACTTTATTCTACTATAAATAAACTGCAATTACAACTACAAATCATAATATGCGGGAGTAAAAGTGTTCAAATTTACATGTATTTTTATGCATGAATTATCAGTACAGTCATTTGAAGATAATGTTAAAATTACATGTTAACAATAATCCAATATATATGTATGTATGCATATATTAATAATATAATTCAGGTTCCAGGTATACGAAAATATTAATTATATTAGATAAGATAATTAAAGATAACATAAAGCAAAAATATATTCTTAATGTGTGCAAGGTTTTGTTAATTCAGAATAACTAACCGGTTATTTCATGATATGGTGAGCCATTGATTTGGTTTCATGTCAATTCATTTCTGCGTATAGCTTTAATTGATGCTCTGGAAAAAAAGATGTGTGATGTGTAACTTCTTTGTGCGGCCTTTAAATTATACAAATTTTTTTGCAGTACTTCATTTAATCTTATTTCCTCGAATTATTCTAATTTAATAAACCGATCCCTCAAGCCAAGTTGAAAATGATATATTAAATTGCAAATTTTGAAATTAAATATTCAGGTAAATTTTTGTCGTACGGGAGTCAGATTTCTTGAAAATGTTTTTTTTTTTATAACGAGCGTAAAACATTCCCAAATATAAGTATAGAAACTGGCAGGACCGTATTAAAAGTTACATTTCGTTATTTTCCGAAAAAAATTTTAAAAATTTGAAAATGCCAAATCATGAATATTTTCAATATTTAAAACACGTCTGTAATTAGAAGTATATAACTAAGACCAGCGATTGCGAAAATAAAGGCCGGGTAAGGACGCTTAAGCCGGGTATGGGGTTGGTTATATGTATGTTTGGTACAGCCGACTAGAATTCAAAAGAGAGATGCACCACTAGAATGTTATAGCAGTCTTATATATAAAATTTCAACGTTCTACGGTTGATCGTTTTTGAGTTATACGAGATACATACGCACATATATACAGAATATGTGCGTATTCTGTATATATGTGCGATCAATACAAGAATTGTCAAATATGTACGTAAGTACAGATGTCATGGAAAGAAGACCCTTTTTAAATGCGTTTTAAATCCATTTTACAATCCGTTTGGGAAAAAAGATTGTTTTAATCTATTTGCATGCACATGCGTCTCCACACACACACATACATCAAAAAATCGTCCAAATGGATTGGGAAAGGTCAAAATGGATATTTCCACTGAAATACGATGCCTGAAATTTTTCGCAATTAAAATTTGTTCTTTGTGCAATGAAGTAAGAACTACCTCTTAAAAGCACTACCATTATTGCAAAATTTAATTTTTATTTAAAATTTTAACAATCAAACTTTGTAGAGATTTCATTCGAAATTTGGATTCCAGTTTCTTCTTATTTTTTTAAGCACTGATCTATAAGTATTAAAATATTATTTGTTTGGGCAATATTCTTTAATATTAAATTCATTTTACTTTTATGGAATACGTATTTATATACTGTTTCGTGCATTCCAGTAGTGAATTTAGATTTAAATGTTAAATCTGCTGATGTTGAAAAATTTTATTTAAACCTTCTTATGCAGAAAAATTTCTGAGTTGCATTCTTTCGTTCATTTTCTTATTTTTTAAAACACATCATTCACTTTCAAGTATGTAGATTTGTGTAGGACAAAAAGAGTAAAATAAGGCTGAAATTCATCTAGTGCTAGTTTTTAACACATCTAGTGTTACCTCTGGCATTAGTGCAAAATTTATGTGCCTTCTTAATTTGTTACGGTACAAATTGAAATTTAAACCAAGCCGATCAATACAAGAATTGTCAAATATTTTCAGTAAGTAAGATTTAAATTAACTTTCCGAGCTTAGTTTGATGACAGCTGTAAACTAGCGATTAACCCTCGGGCTATGAGCTTTTGAGATTTTTTTTTATTGTAATCATATGCTTGCTTCTCCGCATGTTTGTAAATTATTTATATCTGTAAGTAACATACGTTTTAAGTTGCAATTATTTTGTGCCTGATGCAGTTGATAGATTATTAGTTTATTAATAAATTATAGGTGAATATAACTTTTATTTTAATTTATTAGAGCACGCCGAAGTACACATTCCTTACACACTTTGTTTTTTATTGCTTTACAAGTCACCGACCAAATGAACTTAACTACCCAACTACATTTTTCTGTCTGAACCAATGTACATCACATGTTTATTTGAGAGGACTCGTTTGCAGTTATATTTGTAAGCCTTTGTTGTACTTTGTTTCGAACGAAGAATTTTAAAATATACTTCAAAACTTTCATCCTATATCCGATGGCTAAATCTTAGTTTATATCTTATATCTGTAATGGTTATGTTTTGTCAGTAGTGCAACTTAAAAAGAAATTCTTAAAATGGCTTAAAAGATATATATTTTAAAATCTGCTCTTTGTTTACTTAAATTAAATTCCTTGTAATATTCCAAGTTTCAGAACCATATAAGGGAAACACTGCAAAACTGTACGCTTTCCCAAAATCGCACTGGTAACTCTTTCGAATGTACTTTTTGGTTTTCTTTATTTTATCATTTATATCAACTTGCAAATCTCTTTGTCATTGAAATTAATGAAAGTCATGTTTTAATGTTCTGTATATTTTTTTATTATTTTTTATACGTAGAAATATTTCCTTTATTTATTTCTTTTCCAATTAAGTTGAGCGTTTTTGCTTATTTTTTCAAAAAAATGGTTTCTTTAATTTTTAAACCCGCGGTTTGTGCAAAAAAGTTTTGACTCATGCAGTTTTAATTCGATACTTTCTAATGCTGATGAAATCAGTGCAATATCCTCCATAAATTCGAAGCTTTTCAATTTATTTACAAAGATTCATTGTCAAAAAGCTTATATTTCTTCTGCTTTAACTAATAAATTAATTTAGTTTAATTTAATTAGGTTTTACATCCTCGTTTGATATGCTTATATTTGGGAAATTCTGTGATTTGTCCACCTATAAGACATCCTTGCTATTACGGTGCGCAGGATATCGTCTGTCAAAGTACTGTGAGATATTTGTTCTTTTTATTTTATTTTATTTTTTTGCCTATTGTAATGATGTCACTCTCAGAATCAAATAAGAAGAGAAAAGTAGACCTCGAATGTCGTGCTTTTAAAACAGAACGGAGTGCCAATTATTATGTCGTAGCATTAAATGACGAAGTTTTACGTTTAATATGCATTGAAATAATAGATATACAAAATGCGTAATACAATTATACTTATCATTACGAAACTAAGCACGCGACACGATATTTAAACTTCACAGAAAATGGACGATCCTTAAGATTGGAAAGTTTAGAACAGATTGCATCATCACAGTGCAATTTATTTCCAGAAAATACAAATCATAATGAAGCAGTAACTAAAGGCAGCTCACGAAGAGCTCATTTATTAGCCACGAAAGGAAAACCATTTACCGATGGTGAATTAATTAAATAATGTTTGTTTGTGGCGCTTGAAGAAATGTGCCCAGAAAAAAGAGATATGTTTTTATATGGTATGTCAAACTATCCTATATTATATGTTTCTATATGTTATGTAAACAGATATAGCGGTCTTTCGGTTATCAGGTTCAATGTTCCTTCTAACCTTCTTCGGGAACATACAAGGACCTGACTAGGAACAGAGAGCTTACTAAAGCTATGTTCACTAATTGTAGTAAGTAGACAGGATACAGACGAAGGGTATACAAAACCCTTTATTTTTCTCTATATACAATGACTTCCGTACTTCGGAATACACTGACCCTCCACTCGGGGTCTAACGTAAAAAAAAGTATAAAAATAAAACTAAACTCTAATTTAACTTTAGAATAATACACGTGGAAGATTGGCCTTATAATAACAGGAAGCGTATGTAGCACAGAGACTGTGAACACTACAATACGTTTAATTTATCAAGAGGATTAAAACCTCTGGCCTGGAAGGCGAACAGCAACTGCGTAACTTCTAAGGTAAGCGGCCTGCGTTGACTTACTGCTTCCTCTCTCCTTCGCTTGGCAAAAGGGCCAGACAAACTTTGCATAAAATCCTTAACGCTTATAATTCTGGCCGGAAGTAGAAAATAAGAAGTGATAGTAAAGATTTAAAATAAAATAAACGTTAGTAAAACTTAAGATCCTTACACGGTGAGAAAAACTGTTAGAAGTCTCGGGGACATCGGGAGCTACATCAAGAGTCAATTAAAAGACAAGGCAAAACGTTTCAGATGGTCTTTCGTTCGTTGGTTCTTGATGAGTCATTAGATATTATTGATACCACCCAAATGCTCATCTTTTTTAAAGGTATTAATGCTGAATTTGAGGTGACTGAAGAATTAGCTTTTTCGAATAGTTTGCGAGAAATAGCTACTGGTGAAGCTATCTTCAAAGAAGTGGAGAAAATGCTAACACAGTACAATTTTCAGTAGCATCAGTTAAAATGTGTTACAACTAACGGTGGAAAAATATGAGTGGAACGGGAAAAGGATTAGGTAGACAAATTTTTAAATCTTGTGGGAGTAAAAACTCTGGTAATTCACTGTATTATTCACCAGCAAGTTTTTGTAGGAAACACTTCAGTCTGTCATGTGTTATTGAACCAGTTGTATCACTAGTAAACTTCGTTTGCTGTCGACTTAACTCTCACCAGCTTCTTGAATTTTTATTTGAGATCAGAAATGAATATTCTTACTTGCCTTATTATACAGCTGTTGGATGGCAGTGGGGAAGTTTGGGGGACATTTTTCGAACTGAGAAATGTCACAGATATTTTTTTTAAATGAGAAAAATTTCTCACAACCATTATTATCGAACAGCGAATGGCTATATATGGAAATTAGCATTGCCTCAGACGTCGAGAGATATCTCAAGGAATTCAATTTAAAGTTATAGGGAAAGTAGTACTTATATGCGAAATGTATTCTACCGTAAAGGCATATCGCCGAAAATTAGCATTGTTTGAAACTCAAATAACATTAAGAAAGTCTGACCATTTTTCATGCTGTAAAAAATTTTAAATATTAGCAAAATACACATTTTCAAAAACATTCACACAGGATATATATTCTGAACTTATATGACAGTTACGACACCGTTTCATGGATCTTGATGCAAGTGCAAAATATACTTCCATGTTTCAAAATCCATTTGACGGTATAATTGAAGAGCTTCCATCAGCCTTTCAACTGGAAGTGACTGATTAGCAAAATGATGATATGTTAAAACGATGTTTAAAGAAAAGATTTGCAAAATGTTGTTTACCCAATTTTAAAAAATATCTTTTGGAAGATAAATACGTTCAGTTAAAGTTATTATGCAGGGAGAATTTATATCCTTATTCGGGAGTACTTACCAATGCAAGAAGACATTTTTGAAAATGAAGTATGTAAAATCGTAGTTAAGATTATTATTAACAAATGACCATTTGCAAACAACTTTAATGGTGGGAAGTAATAATTTCGAACTCTAGTATGATGAAATATTATCTCAGAGAAAACGTTCTTTATACTAGAAATTTAAATATGTATAATAACAACGCTTTGTAATGTGTAAATCTTTTATTCTTTTTTTTTTGTAAGTGTTAGTAAAATGTGTATAAATATTATGTAAAAGTATCACTTTGTAATAAAAAATGAACCTTTTTTTTGCTTATCAGAAAACTACCTATTCTTGGACCGCCGAGCGTAAATTTTTTACAATCCTGGCCCTTTCTAAAAGAAGTTTGCGGACTCCTGGCTTATACAATTCGTTACAGAATCGGAGGGGGGGGTTCTTACTAGTTTTAACTATTTTCTATAACAGATTTATAAAAATGCAGTTTTATGATGGTGTTAAATTTTATTTCTTAGTGTTTTCTTTCAATGGTTTATTTTCTTCGTTTCTCGTACATTACTAGAGAGCACATGAGAAAAGCTTAATACATTTATTCTTGTGTTTAGATTTTGCGGATATATTTATCAATAACAGAAATTTTTTGCAGTTTTTTATTTTACTTTCAATATATTTTTCGAGTTCAATAGTTTATTGAAGAATATGTTTTTAAATGAGGAGATTTACATCTAAAAGTTAGTTATTTTGCAATCCTTCAAAAATTCAAATTCTTATCTAAGATCTTTAAATAGAAATTAGAAAAAAAAAAAAAAAAAAAAAAAAAAAAAAAAAAAAAAATGCTGTAGTACTACAAAAATGATAGCAGCAATAAAATACGAAACTTCAGGGTCCTAGCGTGTGGATGTTAAATCAAAGTCCTTCTGACACAATGAGAATGATATGCGAGTTTATGAAAAAATTCTTGAGAATGTTTTAAATAACCTTCTTATTTAATCATGAACTTAACATGTGCTTACAATCAAAACGCAGCCATCTGAGGGTATTTAAAATAACATAAGTTTCAAACTGAAGGCAGTGAAGTTAGAGACCTCACAAAGTGGCCTAATAAAGTTGGCTCAGTAATTTAATGGAGCGTTTTAACGTCGGCTAGTGAAGTGGTTAAAGCCGGGATATTCATTGACAGACCTAGGAGATATTATGCAAATTGTAGGGGATGGTGCCAAAAGCTCTTTTGTCTAAAACATTCACTTGATCGAACGGCTGCTCATCTCGTGGTGGCTGGTCTAAGACATTCAAAATCCTCGACTTAAATATTCGACTAATTCGTATCCTGGTGAGAATAACGGAAAAGGAGAAGTTAAAAGAAATACTTAAATCATAATCCTTGGTTAGTTAACATCAAATACAAATTGAAGAATCTCAAGAGTATAATTGATTAGAAATATTAAACAATTTGCTTACTTTTTTATAAAAGTTTAACTAATTTCCTTGCTGTAACAAATAATCTACGTCTGTATGAAAGCAAACCAGACATATAATATCTTTCTAATGTCTATGCGAAAGCAAACTGGACATATAATCCCTTTGTTATATAAAATTCCATCGCTCTGGAAGGTTACTTTCACACATCTTCACTTTTAAAAGTTTCTTCCTCAGTATCATCTACTCGTTGAGGATAAGTTGTGTTAGTTTTTTGGAACACCTGCCATTAGAAACAGAAGCAATAATGTGTTTCTACCAGTAATTTCAAAACAATGTATCTTGCATTTATTTGTTTTAGCTTTCCTTTAAAGAAAAAGTATGCAGAATTTCCATCCTTTCGATTTAAAATTTTGAGATAACAAAATGAACCAGAATATGATGTTGCCTTCATTTTTACACTCTATTTTGTAATCTTCGTTACTTTTGCCTCAAAAATTTAAAAAAAAAAAAAAAAAAAAAAAACATTCTACTTTTAGGACGACTGTGTGCAAAATTTTTACAGGATAGCACATTTCGTTGTTTTTTGCAGTTAAAAGCTTTGCAAACTCAAAGGAAAGTTTTCAAAATATTTTATCATTTAGGTGATTCATTTTTCATTTTTTTTACTCAATACTTTACCCATACAACATGTAATTATTATAATATTACTAAAGTTATAATAATTACTTCATCTACTTAAATTGTAATAATTACATAAGCTGTATTAAAAAAACCTCCGTGTGGTCTTAATAATATTAAATTATACTGAAACCTGTAATAACTGTAAATACATTAGTAATCTACATTACCTGATTCGTCGTCGAAAATAAGTTTTCGTAGTTTTTGATATGCTGGTTCTGGAACTAATATAATTAGAGATCAATTGGATTAAAATCAAATATTGTTACTGTCGTGTGTTTTAGTTAATTTACTTTAAAAGATATTTATTCTGTCTGTAACAAATTCTTGACAGAATTTCTCCAAATTACTAATTTTCTTCTTTCTTTCTTCTTTTTTCCTTTTTTACTTTCTTAGTTAATATTCTTTTTTTTTCTCCAGGCTGTAAATTTTAACCAATTATTGTAAAATTAGCTAAGAAAAAAATGGGGTTTTATACGATCTGAATTTACATTACAGTTGCAATCATAAGAAAATCATGTTTTTATAATATTCTCCCTCCCTAAAGTGAGCAAGTGTCAGGTTTTCTTAAAAAATCTTCTTGTAAGACATAATTTTCTGCACAGATAGCCATCTTCTTCCTTATCGTAATATAATAACATACTTCGTCTTTTATACAACGCTATACATTCTCGAATTTAAAATAACTGTTTATATGAAGCACTAAATAAAAAAACAAAAAAAAAAAAAAAAAAAAAAAAAAAAAAAAAAAAAAAAGGTAATAAAAAATAAGGGAAGGGTTTTCAGACTCTTTTATCTGTTTCATGGGAAATTCTCAGAGAAACTAATTATTCAATCGATTTTTTATTATATTAAATAATTAAATAGTTATTTTCTTTGGTTATAAACTCGGAAAAAATGATTTGTTTTTGGACCAGAAACATGGTAATTCTCTTCCACCCTTTTCGAGTTCGTTTAATTCTAATGCATATCATATTTCGTCATTTTAGCAATTAATATCGTTTTACCATACTTAGGTTAGATAGTTTAAATTCAAAGGATTGACTGAATACAGTGTATATTTAGTTACCATAGTTAGTGTATTCCGCAGAAATGCAAATATCGCTTAGCTTCAGCCTCTTATAAGTAAATACTTAGTTCTATATTTTATAGTCCACATATCGCTTTAGAGCAATGTTGGTTAGGTAGTTCGTTACTAATATGTCTGCAGTTTCATATGTTTCGCATTTAATGCAATATTATCATTATTCTAAACTGTGTAATCAGCAAATGAAGTTACTACTGGAAGCCCAATGGAAGGAAACACAAAAATATGTGGTTTTTTCTAAGCACCTGATGTAAAAGAACGAAAAAAGGAATTCAGTTTGATTATTTTTTACATTTCATGCTATTTCAGAAATTAGGAACATTTCATAATTTAAAACTATTATGGTTAAAAAAATTTAAAATATCTTTTCGAAGTTGGTGGCGCTTAAAATAATTCATCGATAACAATAAATTATACAGTTCAAATATTCATTAAAGTTGCACATGAATTAGTACTGATTAAATTATTAGTCCAAAGGGGCAATTTGCCCAGATGGTTTATTAATTTCGTTTTGCATTTGCTTTGAATCACTAAAAATAGCGTTTCACTTTTCAAATTGTTGCCACCAAATATTAAACCCCTGTAGAAATTAAATAATGAAAATGTTTAAAGAAATTAAATAATGAAGAATCTGCATAAATGTACGTATGTTTCTCGCATTGTGATAAAACAATGGTACCTAGAGCCATCAAAATTTGAATAATGTAATCTTCCATAGAATATGGCATGTGGAAGCTCTAATTTTAAATTTAAAATTTGTTTTATTATCGATTTCATATTTTGTAACACTTCAATTAATTTTTGATTAACAAATTTAACGATTTCAAAGCAAGCAATGGCAACACCGTACGAAAAAAAAGAGAAACATTTTTATCTCCAGCTCTGTGTATCGGGAATTCTAAAGATATGCTC